AGAGTCTGAGACTAGGATCACACTGGGGGGGGGGTGTCCCTGTATTGTGATACTGTATCTGTACACCCAGAATAAATGCAATAAATGTGATTCAACTTTCACCAGACCAACAAAGGTGGTGGTGGGGGGGGGGGGGGATATACATACAGTAGGGGGCACTGCTCCATCTGTTTGGTAGTTCTTGATCTGATTTCCTGCCAGAACAATAGCAGCAGAGTGAGACCTGCTGAGCTGAAGGAGACGAAGGTGCTGAGATCTTCAGTGGAGTGACCAGGATGAGCAGATCAGAGGGACAGCTCAGGTGGAGATGATGTGGACATGAGCTGAGGAGATGGAGGCAGAAGATCTGCTGTGGAGGAGGAGCAGACTGGTTTTTAAAAATATATACATTAAAATACACTTTTGGAAATCCAAGCTTCAAACTCTGATCCTCACTCAGACCCAGAGCAGAACCTCCAGATGGAGTTCTTCAAAGCAGACTCCAGGACACCGACCGCTGTCTTCAGTCAGAAGTAGACACCTGGACTAGTGAGAGGACACTCCGCCTCGACTAGTGAGAGGACACTCCCCCTGGACTAGTGAGAGGACACTCCGTCTGGACTAGTGAGAGGAAACTCCGCCTGGACTAGTGAGAGGACACTCTGCCCGGACTAGTGAGAGGACACTCCACCTGGACTAGTGAGAGGACACTCCACCTGGACTAGTGAGAGGACACTCCGCCTGGACTACTGAGAGGACACTGCGCCTGGACTAGTGAGAGGACACTCTGCCCGGACTAGTGAGAGGACACTCTGCCCGGACTAGTGAGAGGACACTCTGCCCGGACTAGTGAGAGGACACTCTGCCTGGACTAGTGAGAGGACACTCCGCCTCGACTAGTGAGAGGACACTCGACACTCCACCTGGACTAGTGAGAGGACAGTGTGGACCAGGTTTCTACAGCTGTACCATTGACTTTGTCACCAACCAGGCGACCTGTGTCTCCAGCCCAGACCGTCAACCACGGAGGTCCACTAGCCTAAGGTCCAAGTCCTGGACAGGTTCTGAGAAGTGACAACCATCGGGTATGGACATGACCTTTAACCTCTTCACACCCATTTTCAATGCCAGGATAATCAATGCCCCCCCCACCACCACCACCAATTCTCCAAGTATGAACAGCAGGGAAAGTTTAGCAGAGTGGGCTCAATGGCGGCGCCTGCTGGCTGCAGGTGAGACACACAGCTGCTCATGGTGGAATCAGGAGCTTTATTAGAAGTCTGTGGAATCTGCTCTCGCTGGGACTCAAAAAATATACTGTAAATGACAATAATTAATATAATGACAGTAGAATTAACACAACAACAGTAATAATTAGAATAAAGAGCAGGAAGTTGGTGCTGACCATCACCGTGATCCGCACCTTGTCCCGGAAAAACTAAAAAGCAACAACAAAAACAATCCAGAGCCAGGTTCCCACACGCCTCAGTGCTGCCACCCCCTGTCTGTGGAGGGAAACAAAAACGAGGAAAATAAAGCCAACTAAACCA